AAAAAGTGAAATGATTAGATATAATTGGAGGACAATAAATGATTAGATATATACTTAGGATAGATCTATTCAAAAAAGTGAAGAGCAACGATAACAAATGATTAGATATAATTGGAGGACAACAAATGATTAGATATTATTCAAAAAAGTGAAATGATTAGATATAATTGGAGGACAATAAATGATTAGATATAATTGGAGTTCATGTGAAAACTGAAGAATAACATAGGTAGGATAGGTAGGATAGATCTCTTTAGAAAAGTGAGTGAAGAATAACGATAACAAGAATTACTTAGAATAGTTCCTTAACAAGAATAAAAATTACTTAAGAATAAAAATTACTTAGGATATAATTGGAGTACATGTGAAAACTGAAGAATAAAAATTACTTAAGATAGATCTATTCAGAAAAGTGAAGAGTAACGACAACAAATGATTAGATATAATTGGAGTACATGTGAAAACTGAAGAATAAAAATTACTTAGGATAGATCTATTCAAAAAAGTGAAGAGTAACGAATAAAAATTACTTAGGATAGATCTATTCAAAAAAGTGAAGAGTAACGATAACAAATGATTAGATATAATTGGAGGACAACAATTGATTAGATATAATTGGAGTTCATGTGAAAACTAAAGAATAACATAGGTAGTTGATTAGATATAATTTAGATATAATTGGAGTTCATGTGAAAACTAAAGAATAACATAGGTAAGATAGATCTCTTTAGAAAAGTGAGTGAAGAATAACGATAACAAGAATTACTTAGAATAGTTCCTTAACAAGAATAAAAATTACTTAAGAATAAAAATTACTTAAGGATATAATTGGAGTACATGTGACTGAAGAATAAAAAAGAATAAAAATTACTTAGGATAAAATGATTAGATATAATTGGATTAGATATAATTGGAGTACATGTCAAAACTGAAGAATAAGGGCAACAAGTAATTGAAGACTAACGACAATAAATAATTAGATATAACGGTCGTACACGTGAAAACTGAAGAATAACAGTAGTACACGTGAAACTAATAATAGTAGTACACGTGAAAACTGAAGAATAACAGTAGTACACGTGAAACTAATAATAGTAGTACATGTGAAAACTGAAGAATAACGGTAACAAGTGATTCAAGTGATTGAATTCAATAGTTCTTAGTATCAAATTATTAATTAGTTCCTTGTATTTAAGTGACTCAAGTAATTAAGTTACTTGAATTCAATAGTTCCTAGTATCAAATTATTAATTAGTTCCTTGTATTTAAGTGACTCAAGTAATTAAGTTTAAAAGTAATTGAGTTCAGTAGTTTCTCATATCAAATTATTAATTAGTTTCTCGTATCAAATTATTAAGTAATTCCTTATTGAAAGTTAAGCTTTCCAAATTATTAAGTAGTTTCTTATTGAAAGTTAAGCTTTCCTTATAGTCATTGTATTAAATTATTGATTAGTTCCTCGTATCAAATTCCTTATTGAAAGTTAAGCTTTCCTTATAGTCATTGTATTAAATTATTGATTAGTTACTTATATCAAATTATTTAGGAGTTTCTTATATCAAATTATGATTATCAAATTATTTTATCAACAAATTATTCAATAACTCGTATCAAATTATTAAGTAGTTTCTTATTCAGCAGTTTTTTAGTTTCTTTTATCAAATTATTACCAATTTTAAATTAGTTAGTACGTTTATTTTCCTAATAAGAATTACTTAAAATAAAATATTAAAAATTATTTATTAGTGCATTTTTTAAATAAGAATTACTTAAAATAAATTATTAAAAATTACTTAAAATAAAATATTTATATTAAATGATTGAGATCTTGCTCATATCAAATTATTATAGTGTATTATTATCGACGGAATGCATTCTTTTCTAATAAAAATTACTTTTGAATAAAATATTAAAAATTATTTAAGAATAAAATATTTATTTTATTATAAATATTTAGGAATAAAATAAATATTTTATTATAAATATTAATATTTATTGTAATAAAATATTAATATTTTCAAACTATTTTCTTAGGAATAGTAATGTTTATTTTCAAACTATTTTTGTAATAAAATATTAATATTTATTGTCAGTCATCTTACTAACAATGACTTACAAGGTTCATTTAAGAACCTTGGATGACATTTATTGTGGGTCGGATCAGAATAATATTTAAAGGGGTTTAGGGTTAAAAATTATATTTATAATGATTCTTAATATGTATTTAAACCAAATGATTGTGGGATTGGAAGAAGCAAGATCTTTTTTTAGTATTTGTTTAAACAATGACATATTAATTAATTGTGGTAACGGGAGAGAGTAATATATATTTGTTGTGGAGTAAGAATAAAAGATTTTTGACTATTTTCTTAGGAGTAAGAAATATTTATTACTGTTTTTTATTCCTTTAATCTAAAGGAAAAATCATTACAGTTTTTTATTTCTATTATGATGGATTAATGCATAGGTGGCGGAAGAGAAAGCCCTACCAGTAGGACCAGAGGAAGGTGGATTTGGAATGTCATATGATCTTCTGTATGGACGTGCTGGGTTCTTATGGGGTGCATTATTTGTAAACAAGCACTTAGGAGAAAATGCAGTGCCCAAAGACATTTTGGTGCCTATTATTGATGCAGTCTTGGCTGGTGGTAGGGCAGGAGCATCTGATATTAAAGACTGTCCATTGATGTATAGATGGCATGGAACCAGATACCTTGGTGCAGCAAATGGCCTTGCTGGTATCATTCATGTGCTTCTTCATTTTCCACTTCCTAGTGAGGATGCTGAGGATGTTAAGGGAACTTTGAGGTACCTCATCAGTAAGCGTTTCCCTCACAGTGGAAACTACCCCTCTAGTGAAGGGAATCCAAGGGATAAGTTAGTGCAATGGGCTCATGGTGCAACTTGCATGGCCATCACCTTGTCCAAAGCAGCACAGGTAAATCACTTTTTCCAACATAAATTATTCTGATATTCTTCATGATACACTTGTCTTAAAAGTTTTATTATTTTCCTAAAAAGACAAAACGTATTCATTGCCTGTGTGTTTGTGCTAGTTTTTAATTAAAATTAAAATTTGGAAAAAAACTTCTTAGTGTCCTTAAAGTTTTTACCAAAAACCTTTCTGTTAATCACCCTTAATGACCACCTTTTCAGAGTTTGAGCTAGATAACTGTTACCTAAGTGAAATCATAAATTACTGTACCAGATTTTGTTATAAGAGACAACCAATGCATTAGTGACAAAACTTAGAGGTGGTTGTAGTAGTGCTAATAAAAATTAGTTTCATCTTACCCACATGAATTATATTAGTTTATGTTAAAGATTCCCATATTGGGAGAAACAAAATTACTAAAAATATACTTGAGAAACTATATGTTTGCTGCTTAGGCAACTTCTTTCATTTTCAATTTTCATTGGACAGACACATTGCAGAACTGGTACTTCAAGTATCAATGTAAATGGTTGATAAATGACACCAAATTTGGTTGTATGTATTTGCAGGTTTTTCCTAATGACAGAGAACTTCGAGATGCTGCAATAGAAGCAGGGGAAGTTGTGTGGAAGAGTGGATTGGTGAAGAAGGTGGGACTTGCAGATGGGGTATCTGGAAATGCCTATGCCTTCCTTTCCCTATACCGACTCACTAAAGAGAGTATATATGAAGAGAGAGCAAAATCATTCGCTTCTTTCTTGTATAACAATGCAGGATCTCTGGCTTGTGCCAATGGTTATTCACTCTTCCAAGGTCTTGCTGGGATAGCTTGCCTCTGGTTTGATCTGCTTGCACCCTACAACTCTAGCTTCCCAGGTTATGAATTATAGGTTGTTTTAGTAGACATACTACTTTACATTGAAAAAAGTTTGGTGGATGTGAGCAAGAATCTGAGTGATACGATGTGATGGTAGAAGAGAAAATTAGAAAAAAAAAAAAATAGAAGCAGGTATTGATTGAGTCTGTGATGTACGAAGTGTCCATGTATGTATCCACTATGAGAACCAATTGGATCTCCTACTAAGACCTAAGTTACATAACTCGTCAATAAAGATACTTAGCTTCGTACATCATCTCGTGAATATAGCAAAACATACGTGTAATATTGTACACACTCTTGATCATCAACAAAAATTGATTTTGTAAAATAATAAAAAATAAATGTCTGTTTATAAAATACTACATGTCTTACCAATTTGATTGTTTGCGTCAAATTTAGATCCCTTTCTGTCAGATAAAGACAAATGAATCCCTTAATAATACAAAAATGTAAACAGCTAAAATTAAATGTGGATAAAGATAATCAAATAAGACAAGAAGAATCTTGCACATTCCTGTCATTAGAAGAAACTGCAGTTCATTTTCTTCTTTCTAAAATATCTGTCAAAGTTTAACCCGTTTCAAATTTGATACAGTACATTAGTATATTTACAATCGAAAATAATTATAATTTTCAGTTCTAGATAACAACATTTTTACACTTTTATTCAAATTTAAATCACAAAATGCATAAATTTATTGATTTTTATAATAATTGTTTTATATTAACCTGGTTTCTGATTAATTAACAAAGTAAACTGGTTTACGTTAATGGTAAATTAGATGACACGATTTCATTTAATGAAACTCTTTCAAATATATAGAGAATTTTTTTGGTAAAACTCATTTCTCTTGGTAGGGTTGAATAAAAACACACTAACATAGGTCAGTGATGAAAATTTTGGAAATAAAAGATCCTAGGTCTAATATTTGTTGTCACCCTTTTATGAGTTTAATGTTCATCCAGTATAACACAATTAATAATAAATCATCATTGACACGAGGTTAAAAATTATAAAAATTAAATAATATATCAAAAGAATTGGAAGTGGAGGTCACAAGAGTTTGAAGTAGAAAGGCCCAAGCCCATTGTGTTTAACCGCTAATTGACCCGGGATGAATAATCGACTACCGCTACCTAAAGCTTAGAAACTGAAGGTGAAACTGCAAGTGCAAGTTCAACACGATGGGGAGGGGAAATGGAGGGAAGAGTCGCACTCAACGAAAGCATTTCCAAGAGAGCAGAGAGAACGTGTGGAAATTCAAACGTGCTAGATCAGATTCAGATCCTATTCCTTTCACCAACCCCTACGCTACTCAGAACCTTGCTTTCGATCACTATTACAAGGTAAACCAACCTAAAATCCAAACAGCGTGACGTAGCTTAACTCCCTGATTTTGTTTTTTCTTTTTCAGGAACAGGGAATTGTGTCATCGCAAGAATGGGATGCTTTCGTGCAACTTCTTCGAACTCCTTTGCCCGCAGCATTCAGAATCAATTCCACGTATTCATTTATTTAATGTTTATTTTTGTTTCTTTTGGATTTTTCACCTTGTGTCTAGTCTACTGACTAAATTCAACTGAATTAGAAAACAATTATCTAACCGTAACAGCATTTCAAAGTACGGAATATTTCCGCGCGCGTAGTAACAATTTCAAATCCATTTGAGTTCGAATCTAAACTCGTTTATCCAATTGCAAGTTACATTGATGCTTGCTCAAGTTTCTTATGTCTTTTTATTTGGTGATTCCAGTAGCCGGTTTTGTGCGGATATTCGGTCCCAACTAGAGAATGATTTTGTGCAGTCTATTCAGGCTGAGGTAAATCAACAGCAATTTTGTTTAATTATGCTGCTATTGTCGATTTTTCGTGTTTAGAGTCCTGAATTTCTATTTATAGGTTGTGGACGGGGATGATACGGAGGCTATTATACCTTTGCCATGGTATCCTGAGAATCTTGCTTGGCATTCAAATTTTTCGCGTAAGCAGCTCAGGAAGAATCAAACACTTGGGAGGTTAGTAAGGTTTGATACACGAGTGGTGTGAATTGAACCAACTTTAGTTGACATTAGATATGTAGTTCTAATTAACAGTCCAACAGCCAAAAGTTCACATTGATAAGATATATTACGATTATGGCTTGATGTTTAGTTAATTACCTAACTATGATGACCATGCTTATTTCTGACTCTCGCATGACTCGTTGGTTGCATTTAATTATGATTTTTGCCTTATTTCAGAATGTAATGTTTAGTTAACTCAAAAAGTATTCATAAGTTAGTACTTATAACTTATACGTCCATTCCTGCTTCTTATTATGTGAATTCAGGTTTCATGAGTTCTTAAAGCTTGAAAATGAAATTGGAAATATTACAAGACAGGAAGCTGTCAGCATGGTGGGTCAGTTTACGGGTTGTCTATCATTAATTATGATCCTAAGAAAGGACTACCTCTTGTTCTAGATAGCTGGATGGCTTAGTGCATGTACTTTACTCTATGAGCTTACCTTTCGAGAATTTAACTTGTGCACACAAATGTTTATTTGCTACACAGGTACCTCCGCTGTTTTTGGATGTACATTCAAATCATTTTGTACTTGATAGTAAGCAACTTGTGCTGTACTGAGTGGATTTTGTCATTTTTGCCAACTCTTGTGCTCTTTTGTTTGTTAGCAATGCATGTTTCAGTGCATCTAACTATTTCTTATTTCCTTGCTTCTGTTCAGTGTGTGCAGCGCCAGGTTCAAAAACATTTCAATTGCTTGAGGTTTTACACCATTCCACTAAAGTGGGATATCTGCCTGATGGAATGGTTTGTGTCTGTAATAATGCTAGTTTATTCGTGAAGCCTTGCTTGTTTTCTAGAAAAAATAGTTTTGTAATTAGGTCTGTCTTCTTCATCAGGCTTCATGTGCACACTTTATTAATTAGTGTATGTTTATTTATTAGGTTATAGCAAACGATCTAGATATCCAAAGGTGTAATCTTCTCATTCACCAAACCAAAAGGATGTGCACAGCCAACCTAATTGTCACCAATCATGAAGCTCAACACTTCCCAGGATGTCTCTTGAATAAAAATTATGATAAAATGGAGCTAGATCGACAAGCCCAGTTATTATTTGACCGTGTTCTGTGTGATGTCCCATGCAGCGGAGATGGCACCCTTCGTAAGGCCCCTGATCTCTGGAGGAAATGGTAATTTTCGCTCCTTCCTTGGATGCATTCTTCTCTCTTCTTTTTCTTCAACAACCGTATTCTATTTATTGTATAAAGGAACACAGGAACTGGAAATGGGCTTCATAACCTACAAGTTTTAATTGCTATGCGAGGTACATTATTTTATTATTTTCTACCATTTTAAGGGTCTGGCTTCTTTAGCCTCATTTTGATGTTTCCTACTAAGATCTGATAGATGTAAGGCAAATAAGGTAGGTAAATCATAATTACATTTTAGTTTATTCGGTAGGGAATTAGTATTATGCCAGATAATATTGCTAAACAAAAATACACTTGTTTTCTCAATCACAATCTCTATTAGGTAAATTGAAGATATACTCATAGTTGATTTAGTAGAGAAGTTGTATTGACTATTAAAGATGACAGTCATTCTTATTCTTTACACAACAAGACATTTTGTATTTTTTTAGTTTAAAGTTTATACTGACGGCCTTTTGTTGCCCTGGTTCAAATATTTACTGCCCTGGTTCAAATATTTACTGATGGTACTAGGATCAAGCTATAGCTATTATTATTATAGATGAGTATAGATTAAGTAGAGTGAATAAGGCTTAGCTACTAAGACGATTTTGGCAAACTCAATCATTCTATTAATGTTATTAGGTGCATCATTGCTTAAAGTTGGAGGAAGAATGATTTATTCAACCTGCTCAATGAATCCTATTGAGAATGAAGCTGTTGTTGCTGAGGTAATCAGCCTTGAAAGCTCTGAAATTATATTTGGTGCTAGCTATGCTATCTATCCTGTCCAGTTATGGGCTTTTCAGTTGACGTGTTCTATTTTCATATGACAAAGTAAATAATTCATGCTTTATTATTATAAATTGTTTCTTCCATTGATGAGGTCCTCGATCCCTCTATCAAGGATCAATTGGTTGCTTTCTTACATATTCAGTGGATACATGTTTTAAATTTTTTATAAATATAGCTTAATTTGATGAAAGTATTTGGTAGCAATGTGTTATTAATGGAAGCTAACTGTGGAGCTACCTATCAATAGTTTGCTCGCAGTTATTACCTTCGGTTATGATGTCCATTCTTTGTTATTACTACAAAGCTTTCTGCGGTTGAGGTTGTGGGTTGTGGTTATGAAGGAAAAACTCCATCTGTGATGCTGTGACTTTATAGTAATTAGTAAAATAACTTAAGAATTTGCTTTTTATTCATTTAACATCAAGAGTTTTTATAGTTGGATTTTTTTCCTTATTTAAAAAAAAATTATGTTCAGTGCTTCTGTCTTGCTATCTATCAGAATACATCAGCATTGCTTATAGCACTTGTAGTATCTTAAACTGTGAGAGGTTGGGCTTAATTTATACCAATTGCAGGTTTTGCGAAGGTGTGGAGGGTCCATTGAACTTGTAGATGTCTCTAGTGAGCTTCCCCAACTTATTCGTAGACCAGGCCTTAAGAGTTGGAAGGTTTGTTTTTCTGTGACTATTTATTATTGCCTTGCAATGAAGAGTTTGAAGATAAAACATGTAATGTCTAGAAATGGATGTATTGATTGGCTTAGACTAGGCAAAATCGAGCATGACTCATCTTTCTGGAGCTTAGGAGGAGAAAATTCCTTTGCTACTTATGATATTCAATTAAACTATTTCAATTTTATTGTGTCATGGGCTGTTATTGATCTGATTAGCTTATTTTTTAAATGTGTTTTGGTTGTTAAGTCTTTGTAATTGATTATTGGGAAGACTATCATCTTGTACCCATGTTCACATTCTCAGTAAAACATTGAATTTCAAACTTTCTGAACAAAAAATTATTTATACCCAAAATGAAACGCATTCTAGCAGATGTTTGATTATTTTGTAATTAATTAAAATGTGGTAGTCTAGAAGAATTTAAGGTTGTTATGCAGCTGTATGCATTGAAATACATCTGAAGCTGAGTTTCATCGTGCAGGTATGCGACAAGGGCAAGTGGTTCATCTCTTGCAAAGATGTTCCCAAGTTTCGCAGAAATGTAGTTCTTCCTAGCATGTTTCCAAATGGCGGAATCTATCAGGATGATGTTGACAGTAATTGTAATATTAACATTAAAGGTGATATTAATGCTGATGTTGTTAATGGACATTCTGAAGATGATGTTCAAGCAGTGGATAATCCTGTGATGCACGAATTTGCTGGGGAAGTTTCTGATTTCCCACTAGAGCAGTGCATGAGGTTTGTGCCTCATGATCAGAATACCGGAGCATTCTTTATTGCTGTATTGCAGAAAGTTTCTCCTCTGCCTGGTAATTTCTTTTATATGATGTCAGTTACCTTTCTCTCTCAAATCCTGACAAAGATGGTCAAGGAATTCTAGAGGAATATTGGGAATAACTCCTCCTTCAAGTAGGTTTAAATACTAACATATTTTATGCCTTTGCTTGCCATAATAGGTTTGTGATTGTTGTCCCTTGTTGCAGCAATCCAGGTAAAACCTAGAAAAGAAGTTGGGAAACAGGTTGACGCAGCAAACCAAGGCAACGATGATGCACAAGAACTTCCTGTTAATCCATTGAAAGTTAATTCTGTTACATGTGGAAAAGTAGATTTCAAGGAAGCCGAAGATCCCTGCAATGTAGAAAACATACCAAAGAATACTCCAGGCAAAAGGAAACTGCAGTTTCAAGGCAAATGGAGAGGCATTGACCCTGTGGTCTTCTTCAATGACGATGTAGTTATTAACAGCATAAAGACATTTTATGGTATTGATGATCAGTTTTCACTCGATGGTCACCTTGTAACAAGAAACAGTGATACAAACCACGTGAAAAGAATTTACTATATCTCCAAGTCAGTCAAAGAGGTTCTGGAGTTGAACTTCTCAGTGGGACAGCAACTTAAAATAACTTCTGTTGGACTGAAGATTTTTGTAAGTTTATTTTATTCTCAATTATAAAGTGTTTTATTATAATTTTTGTAGTTGATTTATTTATAACACGTGTTCTTTATTTTAAATGAAAATTTCCTCAAAGTGAGAACATGTATGAAGTGGGAAAGTAATAGTTTATTTGCCATTGATTTAAAGTGGGTTACATTTTTAGGTAATTTAATTCAAATAAAAAATGGAGACACCTTTACTCGTTGCCATCTATTACAGAAATAAATTTATTCAAACTGTGCTATACTGACAAATTATAGAGCATAAAAATTCATAGATATTGAAATAGTAGCATGACTTATGAGTGTTAACGGTTTCTATTACTGGTTTCTTGACTCAGTTTGGATTACATATAGAATTTTATTGGATAAGTAAACTACTGGACCGTGTGATTTCATTTTGACGTGATAATTGATATAGGATTATTGTAATATAAAAATTTGATAATTTATTTCAATTTTCATAAAAACCTAATTACTTATGAACAACCAATGGCCTGCCCTTGATTGTCAATGAGAAATGAGTTCTTTGATTAGCTATTGTTCTTGTGAATAAGTGAATATACTTACCCTCATCATACAGGAAAGACAAACGTCATGTGAAGGAAGGTCTGCACAATGTGCTTTCCGGATCACTTCTGAAGGATTGCCTCTTATTCTCCCTCACATCTCCAAACAGATTCTACGTGCATCTGCCATAGATTTCAAGCATCTTCTGCAGTATAGAGCTGTAAAATTTGCAGATTTTGTGGATGCCAAGTTTGGCGAAAGTGCTGCAAGCCTAATGCCCGGCTGTTGCGTGGTAGTTCTGGGTGAAGGTATGACTTGAAATAGATAATAAGAAAATAAAGAAATGTTTTTGAGAGCTTGAGATCATTTTCTTATGTTCTTTTATTTATAGGAAATAAAAATACAGATTCTAAGATATAATTAATAGAGAGAAATGATTAAACCTAGAGAAGATAAATAGATGCATTCTAGGAACTAGGTTTATAGTTAGATACAACTAATCTCATAAATGCTCAACAAGATACAACTAATCTAATAAATACTCAACACTCCCCCTCAAGCTGGAGTATACAAATTGAATGTACTAAGCTTGAAACAAATGAATTCCATTCGAGGTCCTCTCAAAGATTTTGTTAATGCGTCTGCAAGCTGATCATTGGAACCAACAAACTCAGTATAAATTTCTTTAGTCAACAACTTCTCCCGAATAAAGTGACAGTCAATCTTAATATGTTTAGTCCTCTCATGAAATACTGGGTTGGAAGTAATGTGGAGAGCAACTTGATTATCACAATACATCTTCATAGATTGAATCTCACAGAAGTTCAATTCTTGCAAGAATTGTTTTACCCATACAAGTTCATAATTGAGAGACGTCATTGCCCTATATTCAGCTTCAGTAGAGGATTAGACAACAACGTTTTGTTTTTTGCTTTTCCATGAAATGAAATTACCTCCAAAGAAAACAAAGTAGCCTGTAGTGGAACGCCTGTCCATAGGAGATCCAGTCCAGTCAGCATCACAATACCCAAAAATTTGGGTATTTTCCTTATCTTCATATAACAAACCTTGTCCTGGAGTTCTTTTAATGTATCTTAGGATTTGAATGATAGCATTCCAATGATCCACACGAGGGGCTTGCATAAATTGGCTGACAACACCAACTGCAAAAGACAAATCAGGTCTAGTAATAGTCAAATAAATAAGTTTCCCAACCAATCTTCTATATCTTTCTGGGTTAGAGAAAGTTTCACCTTGTCTTGCTATTAACTTTAAATTTGGATCCATAGGACTGTCCACAAGTTTGCAATCAATCATACCTGTCTCTTTTAGAATATCTAGAGCATACTTCCTTTAAGAGATGACAACACCTTCTCTTGAGTGAGCTACTTTAATACCCAAGAAATATTTTAGATTTCCAAGATCCTTGGTCTGAAAATTACTACACAAGTGCTCTTTTAGCTGAGATATTTTAGCAGCATCATTCTCTGTGATGACAATATCATCAACGTACATAATTAAATAAACATGTTTGCCAGGGCAGTGTGATAATAGAACACTGAATGATCTGTTTCGCTGCGTTTTAATCCAAAAGCTTAAACAATAGAGCTGAATTTTCCAAACCAAGCACGTGGAGACTGTTTTAGGTCATAGAGAGATCGACGTAATTTACAAACCAAACCAGACTCCCCCTGAGCAACAAATCCAGGAGGTTGCTCCATGTAAACTTCTAAGTCACCGTGCAAAAAAAACATTTTTAATATCCAATTGATGAAGAGACCAATGACAAATGGCGGCCATGGCAAGGAACAGGCGGATAGTGGTCATTTTGGCTACAGGAGAAAAAATATCACAATAATCAAGTCCATATATTTGAGAGTACCCTTTAGGCACTAACATGGTTTTGAGGCGATCAACCTGACTATTGTGCCCAACTTTAATAGCATAGATTCAACGACAACCAAGTATTTTCTTTCCCGAAGGGAGAGGAACCAGCTCCCATGTTTTGCTATGATCAGAAATCATGGCTTGTCGCCATCCAGGATGATCAAGTACTTCGGCCACATTTTTTGGGATCGTAATAGAGGATACAGAGGAAATAAAAGAATAATAGGAAGAAGACAATCTATATTAGCTAAGAAAATTGTAAATGAGATGAGGATTACGAGTGGAACAAGTACCTTTGCGAATGACAATGGAGCCGTGGTATTAGAAGATGATTGAGAAGGACCTGGTATGGATGGCTCATCTTGGGAATGAGATTCTTCACCTGGTTCCTGCATTGATAGGTGATGATAGACTGTGATGATGATTCTAGAGTATTTTGGTTGGGATTTGGGGTGTCAGAAATAGGAGGTACAAATGATTCAACTAAGGGGACAGGAAAAACATGTTGGACAGACTCAATATCCTACATAGAATAAGGGAAGAAGGAGGATGATTAAAAAAAAGTGACATGTAGTACCTCTTGGTTTCAGAAGAATAACACCGATATCCTTTTTTAAGACGAGAATACCCCAAGAAGACACATTTGATAACTTTAGTTGAGAGTTTATCTAAGCCAAGAGACATATCATGAACAAAACATATATATCCAAATACCCTAGGAGAAAGATGAAAAATTGGTTCCTGTGGGAATAAAATAGAGTGTGGAATTTTATTGTCAAGAGAAGAAGATGACATTCTATTAATGAGAAAGCATGCAGTTAGAATAACATCTCCCCAATGATAAATAGGCATATTGGCACCAAGTAATAAGGTACGAGTAGTTTCAACCAAATGTCTATTTTTCCGTTCTGCTATACCATTTTGCTGTGGTGTGTGAGGACACGTGGACTGGTGTAAAATGCCTTGAGAATTTAGGACATTAGAGAAATCATTAGAAAAGTATTCTTTGGCATTATCACTCCGTAAAACTTTGATTACTTTTCCAAATTGAGTTTTGACTTCATTAAGGAAAGACTTAAAGATAGGTAATAGTTCAGAGCGATCTTTTATTAGATAAACCCAAGTACATCTAGAAAACCCATTAATAAAAGTAACAAAATATCTAAAATCAAAAGATGAAACACGACTAGGTCCCAAGATATCTAAATGAACAATACTAAAAGCAGAATCGCATCTAGATTCAGAATGATTTGGAAAGGATGACCTGGTATGTTTCCTTAGTTGACATAATTCACATTCAAAAATTTGAAGGTTCTAGAGTTCAGGAACCATTTTTTTTAGTTTTTCCAAATGAGGATGCCCTAATCGCTCATGTAACAGTTTTGGGGATAAAGATGTAACACAAGATACAGATGAATTAGTCCTAAGGTAGTATAAGCCTCCAGATTCATGTTCTTTTCCAATCAGTCGACTCGTACCACGTTCCTGGATAACAAAATAATTGGCATTAAAGGTTACTGAACAATTCAATGATTTGGTTAATTGGCTTACAGAAACAAGACTGAATGGAAAAGAAGGAACACAAAGAACATTTTGAAGGTTTAAAGGAGAGATAGATACTTGACCAATTCCTTTAGAGGCTACTTTAGATCCATTGGCTAAAGATATGAGATGAGAGGCTTTAGGAAATGAAAGAGAGGAGAATAAAGAGGTATTACCAGACATGTGTTCAGAAGCACCCGAGTCAATAATTCACGGATTTTGACTTTTCATAGATTGCGAAATGCAAGTGGTTGACAAATTTGGAGTTGTAGATGCTTGAGCTAGATTGGTTGATTTCATCCTTAAATATTCTTGATACTCTTCATGAGAGAACTTGGGCTCATCAACTTTAGATTTTGAGGTATTGGCTGTATTATCAGGAAAGTTGTGCAAAACAAAGCAATTTTCCTTAGTATGACCCATTCTCTTGCAATGAGAGCACAGATGACGTCCTTTACCACCACGTCCTCTATTGCTGTGATTACCTCTTCGACGAGCAGAAATCATGTTGGAAGATTCAGCAAGCTCCTGACTGTTTTTGCTTTTGATAGATGGAACACTAAGTAGCCTTGTGATTAAACTCTCCGTAGAAGGAACTTCTTCTCCGGTTAAAATCTGGTCTCTAACATGATTAAATTCTGGATTCATAGCCCTAAGAATCATTACCATATAGAATTTATCCAGCTTCGTCTTTCTTTCCTCTAATGACTTTGCTTCCAGGAACATTTTTAATTCTTCAACTGTTGATTGAGCTTCAGCAACAAAGGACATCATGTTATTATCCTTTTGCTCAAGGGAGGTTAGTCTATTAGCAAAATCATAGAGTCGTTGAATATCATTATCAAAGATATTTTGGGCCTTTTCCCATAAGAAATTACATGTCTTGAAGGATCGAAGAGTGTTCAAAATATTTGGTTCAACAGATTGCCATAATAGTGTACAAAGTTGATAATCCAGTTTCTTCCATTGAGGAGTCTACAAAGTTGATAATCCAGTTTCTTCTATTGAGGAGTCTGATTTGCTGGTTTTGTACTTCTGTCTTCTTCTAGATGATCATGAACCCCTTGTCCTAGAAACCAGAGTTCAACAGAGGAGGCCCAAAACAAGTAATTTTTCTCATTTAATTTTTCTGTGGTTATAGTAGGAGTCCCAGAAAAAGATACACATGCAGGTCCTGACATTTTTCAGGAAACAAGAGAGGACCTGTAATCTATTGCAAAGCTCTGTGTTGTATATGGAAGCAGAGAGAGGCAGAGAGAAGACCGAGAATGGCTCCTTGCTTGAACACAGAACCACCAAGGTTCTGTGACAGTGAACACAAAACAAAGGGCAGATCCGGCTTCAGGGCGACGAGGCGAGCCAGATGGTGGTGGTCTGGAGCAAAACAGCCACCGGGAGGGCAGTGCGTGAAGCTCACGCGCGGAGGAAGACGCGGACGAAGGTGGCGCGTGGCAGCGCATCAGGCAGAGACGGAGGAAGTGACCACTGGGGTTGGGTTGCACTCCTCAAGGCGATCTTAACCCAAGTGTCAGAGAGTGAAATGGTGCCAGAGAATGACAGTGCCGACAGCGGAAGGCGGCGAGCAGATTAATGCCAGAGAAAAAGAAGAGACAGGCAGAGGGGGGAATGAACCCGCTCTGATACCAACTTGAAATAGATAATAGGAAAATAAAGAAATATTTTTAAGAGCTTGAAATCATTCTCTTGTGTTCTTTTATTTATAAAAGATAAAGATACAAATTATGAGATACCATTAATAGAAAAAAATGATTAAATCTAGAAAAAATAAACAGATTCTATAGTTAGCTACATCTAATCTCATGAATAACAAGATACAACTAATCTAATAACTAATCTAATAAATACTCAACAGTATGCACCCCATGATCAGAGAGTAAATGCCAATTAACATGACTCTTTTGTGACCTTCTCCTTTTTCCGTAGGGAGCAGAGCTGCTACAGCGACCCTCCAAGTGGACGAGTCAACAATAGCAATTGGATGCTGGAAGGGTAGAGCAAGTTTGACTGTGATGGTAGGTGCATTGGAATGCCAGGAACTGCTAAAAAGGCTTTTGATGCGTCTAGATACTGTAACAGAAAAGGACTTCTGCATGCGTGAGGACCAACCGTCTGATATTAAGGGAGATGAATCACAAGAGTCAAACGGTAAAAATGATGATGTGAAAGTTACTGAGTGTTAATAAAAGGTGAATAATTAACGGATATTTTTATATTTATCACTGATTGCTTTGAGTTGTCAATCTAGGTTTTTACCATTTTATTCACTGCTCCTATCCTTTTAGTCACGGCCCCCACCTTCTAACTCTCATTCTTCTTGTAAGAGCATTTGCAGAAATTAAGGCTTTTCTTCCACCCATGTAAGTTATTAGTTTGTTATTTTCTATCTATTTTTGTTTGTTCAGCCTGTTATTTATAGCCAAGTTAGCAGACTTTGCTCAAATTTGTATCATTATATTAGAGTTTACCAGAATTGCTTAAACTCGACAGATGCGTCCCATTTTACTGAAACCAGCACGACATTTTAAAATATTGGAAAGCTATTCGAGTTGCGTATATATCCGCGATATTCGTGGGGCATCACCTCAATTTTTATTTTTATTTTTTTATATTTTCTCTTTTAGCATTATATAGTGATCACACTCAAGGGACAAGATTGAAATTTATTTATTTTTAAACCTTACAGTTTTTAATAATTAAATTAATATTATTTCAAGTACATTATTATTGCCTTTTCTTTAAAATTATATTTACTGTTTTTAAAGTTTAAATTAGGACAAAATATATTTTTTATTAAATTATTATAAATATTTGTGTTTAATATAATTAGAATATGTTGATTTTTCTGTTAAGTTCTTAATTGTTATGAAGTTAGGTTTATGACTTAAATTATTAAATGATGTGTACAATGGATGTTTATAATTTAAATTACAGTAATATAATCCGATACACCTTTTATCAACCTTTCGCAACAATTTTTTGATTAACTTGAAAATAATTGAACTTAAAGAACTATATATGCAAATTCATTAAATCTATTTAAACAAAATCACCTATCAAAGGATAAAGCTTAAATCAATGCCCGTGGTATTTTGTTTTATTTTTCGATTAAAAATAGTTTTATTTTCAAATTCCACCGCAACAAAGGTCAGCATTGATTGATAAAATGAAACTTTAAATTAATTTAAAAATAACATTAAAGATACCTAATTCAACACACTTAAAGTTAAGGGTGTCTAACTTAGTTGGTAGAGCAGGATGTGAACAGCACAGTCAAATTTTGTCTCCTCCATATACTATGCAAATTTTAATGACTTACCTCTCTAGTCTTAATCAGCAACTCGTTCAAAATAAAATTTTAAATAATGTAAAAATATACATAAGGAAATGCACCGAACTATTAAAAATTGGTGATAGAAACAACCATGAAATCTAGAAAATTTAAACATATATCAATAAAGTCAGAATTACTGACAGCACATGTTCCCCTTGGGGATTTCTTGAGCAGGACCAGGAACAATAATCTTTTTGCCAGACAGAGATGCTGAGTTTCCATTTCCTTGACTATCGGCAGCCGATAGGTTCTTCTTGTTGACAATGTTGAATATTTCTGTCAAAACTGTCATGAAAGCTGTTTCAACGTTAGTTGCTTCCAGTGCTGAGGTCTCTAAGAAAAATAAGCCTTCTTTCTCGGCAAATTCTTTTGCATCTTCTGTGGGTACCTGACGCTGATTCTCAAGATCACTTTTGTTTCCTATAAGAATAATTACTATATTCTTATCAGCATGGTTACGCAGTTCTTCTAACCAGCGAGGTATGTGATCAAAGCTTTGACGTTTAGTGATGTCATAAACCAACATTGCCCCGACAGCGCCCCTATAGTATGCACTTGTAACTGCTCTATATCTGTAGAATAAAATCATTTATATGTCAGGGGTATTGGTTACTCTTGACCTTCAGGCCTATCACACGAGTATTCTCCTTTCAAATACACAACCAGACGCATTAACACAGATTCAAACACGTATCAGAAATTTCATAGGAATCATTTCTAAGGATTTTATTATGTTATTTAGACAACAATTCAATCAGATTACTGGAGTATCGAAGTTCTAATAGCACAAAACTAGGAAAATTCTAACGGATAGATTACTTGCCAGTGAAGTTCTAATATGTCCTATGAAAGGATGTATATAAACTGTGAGAGGGGTCGGGTAGCACGTACGTTTTTGCTTGTGAATATTATTCTACAGAGTTTACTTCGTTCCCAGGTAATTTCATTAGTCTGCTAAGTAGTAAGCTAGATTGATATGTAGCTACCTGCGTTCATCACAGTGCACATCGGTACTCAAATTGTCACAAAGAAAACCTAGACAAAACCCAACACAACTTTAGAAAAAGGGAGTTGTTCTGACCTCGGTTCAAAAGAAATTAGCAGGTGATCATTGACAATTATGATCGCTATTAATCTTTATATATGAGACATAGTTAAGCATTATCAATTATTTTTTGAAAATTCTAAAATTTGAACAAAATTGGATCAACATAAAAGACACATGGTGATCTAAATAGTTCAAATCCTAATAAGTTTTCGCCAGTCCTGGTCCCAAATGGTCCAATTAGGTCATCCCTCTCTCAGCACACATGTTCAATTGTTATCAACAGATAATTCTCTAATATGTAGGATAATCTTCTAATCCTCAAAGATAAGATAAAGATAATTCACTTGCCGCTAAGAATAAAAGGTCAAACAGATTAATACCTCATATCAAATCATATGAGATCTATCTGTACCTCATATCAACTCAAACATCCACCGACTGGAATGTTAGAGTGCTTGCCACATCCAAGAAGACCTCCAGATACACAATCCCTACCGATGAGTTTGTCCGAAATGGGTGGAAAATGGTCGGTAACACGATGCAATTAGGTCTTAACTTCGTACCTATGTAGTTGTCATCCGTAAAACTATTTCAAGGATGCGTCAACATGCAATCAGTGATACCACAACAAAATTTCTTAAGGAAAAATTAAACTCCAAAAGTTCAAGATCTTAACCCCACATGCAAAACATTCCAAGTCAAACTCGGTTTGACCACTCACTACAACGAACTAAGTTGGCGGAAAACACGAAGCTGAATCACTCTAAACACTGAACCGATGATCAATTCTTCCTCAGGCCATGATCAGATGAGTACATCAACTCATCAGACAAATCTCTAATATCTACGTATCTAACTTAGACTTAAACTGCGTAATAATTCGCCGCGATCAAAGCGTACGATAAGGTACTCACTAATCAGCAACTATTGCGACAAACGCAACAAAATGAAGATAAGTTCAAAGGCATATCAGTTAACAGATTCAATGAGTAGCGAAAACCTAACGAGGCAAGAAAGATCTACAAAATTATCCACTGAAACAGCGAAACGATAAGCAGAAAACAACGGAGGATAGTGTGCATATAGTTGAAGAGAAGGAGAAGTAGAAGAGATAGAGGACCGTTCTTGTCCCGCAGTGTCCCAGATCTGAGCCTTGACGCTCTTGTGCTGAATCACCAAAGTGCGCGTTTGGAACTCGACGCCGATTGTTGCCTTCGAATCCAAACTGAACTCATTTCTCGCGAATCGCGCAAGTATCTGCGACTTCCCCACCGCCGAATCGCCAATTAGAACCACCTTGAACACGTAATCTACCTTTTGGTTCGCGTCTCCGTAACCTCCCGCACCAGCCATTCTTCTGGAAAAATGCACTTTCTCCTTCCTTCTCACTCCCAAATTTGTGTGGCTCTTGGTTTCACTTCAGCTTCGTTGGGAGTGAGTGAGTGATTGATTAAGCAACTGTTTAATTTAATGCCTTGATTTAATTTGGAGGATCCTTATGTCTTGAACAGAATGGTGTAGTGCGGTTTGTGTGACACGTGGCCTCATATTATTGGGCGCTTCCCCCGATAAGTTGATTGATTGTGTTGGAAATAAAAAAAAAAAAGGAAAAAATGTTGTGTAGAAAGGGAGAAAATATGGTTGGAAACAGCTTTATTTCAGCGATAACAGTTGTCAAAAAGTTCATAGACATTCTTGGAGGGAATTTTTTTTTTTTTCAAATAGCACAGTAAATTTTTAAAATTGTCCGCTTAGTTATAGAAAACTCATTATGATTTGATTATTTGCGGGATGAATTATTTATTATTATTATTTAAATTTAAATATTTATTATAATTTTAGTTCTAAAAATTATAAATTATTATAATCATGCAAATTTTTAAATCTCATAAATTTATAAATTAATATTAATGATAAAACTTAAAACTAACATAATTTACAAATATTATTTTTTATCAAACCCCTTTTTATAATAAAATTTTAAATTATTAAAGTTTTAAAACTATTAATATCTCGTATAGACGTTAATGTTTGGTTTATAGTTCAATGTTAAAAGAATTAACACTATTTTTTTAATAAGTATTTATTTTATATTTATTATGATAATATTATTATAATTTATTATTATATTTAAAATATTATTTATTTTAAATTTTTAATTTATGATAATTTTGTTGTTAATTTTGATTAATAAATCATATAAAACTTATATAATTCCTCAATAAAAACTAAAAAAATAAGAATCATTAAATTTTTATTTTTGATATGAGTGAGAGTTATTGTTAGCAATTTTAACGTTAAGTTAGTCTGAGTAAAATGTAGTTCTATTTTATTCAAATAATGTGGTCAGATGTTGACCTATTTTTTAAGGATATGTTATTAAAACCTAGCCCATAAGTTTAGGAACCCACCAACGACATATGTTTGTTGTTAGTGGGTATTGAAATTGCTTTTCGTTGGTTGTAAGGTTATAAGGTTTAACGTTTGCTTTGAATTAAATAACACATCAGATTTATAATATGTGTAACCTACCATTTTTAGGTTTGATGAACATTACGATCATTGGGCGAGACTCATGGAGAATTTTCTTTGCTTTAAAGAGTATTGACATTTGATAGAGAGCGAAATCTTAGTTGTTTCAACAACTGCATTAGAAAATGAATAGAAGGTCATGGAAGAACAAAAATTGAAGGACATGAAGATAAATAACTATTTATATCAAGCCATTGACCATGAGATTCTAGATACCATCCTTAATGATGAGACATCCAAAGATATTTGGAACTCAATGAAGCAGAAATTTCAAGGTTTTACAAGGGTGAAAATGACACAATTACATCGAGATTCTGAAACGCTGCAGATGAAAATGTGAATTCATACTTTGCTCGCACCTTGAAAATTGCTAAAATTATGAAGACATGTGGAGAAAGCATGCGAGAGAACATTATTGTAGCAAAAATCTTACGGTCCATGATCCCTAAATTTAATTATGATGTGTGCTCAATTGAAGAATCTAACAACTTGGATACTATGATGATCGATGAACTACAAAGCAGTCTTTAGTTCATGAGCAAAGGATGGTGAGTCATGAGGAGGTGAATCACACATGAAGATAGGGGAGGAAGAGGAAGAGAAAGAGGCAGAGCAAGAGTAAGAGGAAGGGGTTCTTTCGGTGGCAGAGGAAGACAAACATTCAATAAAGGTGAAATTGAATGTTTTAAGTGTCATAAACTTGGATATTTTCAATATGAATGTCCTACCTGGGAGAAAAATATGAATTATGTAGAAGTGGAAGATGAGGTAGATAAGGAGGATGAGCTATTGCTAATGGCATACCTTGATTTTAAGCAAGGAAAGGAAGAGGAATGGTTTTTAGACTAGAGGTGTAGTAACCATATGAGTGGTAACAAAGACTGGTTCTCAGAATTAGATGAGAATTTTCGACATACAGTAAAACTTGATAATGACACTCGCATAGCTGATATGGGGAAAGGAAGTGTTCGATTGAATGTTAATGGAGTCACACATGTAATTTCGCATGTGTTCTACATTCCAGAACTCAAGAACAACTTACTATGTAACATCCAATATTTCCCAAAAATATTTCATTAATATAATAAAATATTTTGTCATTAACTTTAATAAAATGACATTATGAGTTATTTTAAGACTTGATAATTTTTAAAGATATTAATAAATAATATATATATATATATTATGAAATTTTTAATAGAGTGAAATAGATAAATTTACAATTGAGTTTAAAATGAAGTAATAATAATAATAAGAGTAATATCATTAAGCAAAATTAGTAATATAATTTACCATTGATGAAATGATTTAATTGGTAAGTGAAAAAGTAAGTGAGGGTAATTTTGGAAAGGAGGTTAAATTTAAAGAAGAGAAAGATCAACTTTCTTTCTCACTTACGGAAACCATTTTGGGAGCACGGGAGGAAGAAGAGAAGCTTGATTTTGCTTGCCCACACCATCTTGGTTCATCCTTTTTGCAATTAAGAGTAAGATCCATGAAATTAAAGCATTGGATTTCAATATTATCTCCTAAAATCTTCTTAATCTCAAATATATAGTCATTTTGATGCTTATAGGAGACAAACTTTTCTTGAACTAAGGATCTCCATTTTCTTGTTTGAAAGCTTCATTTGAGGTAAGGAGAGTCTTCTTGTCATCAACCCTAGGCTAAACCATCATTTATCTCACTTCTACATTAATTGGAACCAAATTAAAATGTTTTATAAAAATTTCGTATGACTATTCTAGTATATTTAGATACTCTACAATGCTCCTTTCATATTTTAGAGTTTAGAAATGGATTCCTTGGATGTTAAAACCTAGAGTTAGCCATAAAAATCACTTAAATTGGATTTTCTAGAGGAAGATGATGAAATATGTGTTGAGAGATGTTATTGGACAAGAATCTGCATGTGAATAGAATCTTTGGGAAATTATGTAAAAATATTTACTTGGTATTTAATTCTGAAATTTTGATTACATGTTCCTTTATATGTCTAGTTTGTGTGTGATTTATTTCAAAATTTTCTGACCAGTTGATTTTCGATGAAAAATCTTGGAAGTAAATATGTTTTGAGTTGGGTGAAACAGAATTGTTATGTTCGCTCAACAACTTTGAAAAATCATAGAAAATCGAAATTGAAGTTTTTTTTTTAGATGAAATTTTTTATCATAGTTGTGATTGTAGGTATATGTTAAGTGTATTTATTTTCATAATTTTATGACCATTATTTTATTTTATTTTATAAAAATATATCTCGAGTAATGCCCCGATAGTGGAATCTTCAAAACGTATGAAAATGGAGGAAAGTTTTGAATGACTTAGAAATCTTTAAATTTTGAATTATAATTTTTATTATAATCCTAGAATATATGTATTTTGGACTGGAAAATTTCATAGAATTTGGAGTTAGTTTAGATGGCAAAGAATTTTTCCAAAGTTACACTTTTCTAATGCTTATGATAGATTTTTCTTCCTAGAGAAGTGTAAACAAAACTTTAGTTCTAGACCTATTATTTATTTTATGAGTATGTATGATGTGAGAATGATAGTGTAATGAGACATTTTGGGACACAAGATTAGAATAACAAGAGTTTAGAAAATTTGATGGATTGCAATGTGTGCTGAGTCCGAGAATGTCCGACTCTTGGCAAATTTTTATTGTTCTTGTTTGATGCAGGAAAATGTGTTTATAAATTTGATTTGAATGTATTTGTAAATTGGGAAATGTCCAAATTACAAAGGAGACTCTGTCAAATTTTTGAAATTGATGAAAAATAAATAAAGCTTAATAAGAATGGTATAAAAAAATGTTATGAATAGTTAATGCATTCATAATCATGGTAGTTAGTGGGAATCATGTCTATAAGTTGTTTGTACTATGTGCTGAGTCTAAGTCAGAGATGTTGGTCATCTAAAAATAGGGTATTATGTCTATAGTGATATGGTCTGTATGATGTAGAGTTTGTTCCTACCAAATATATTGTTGTTAAAGAGTTGGTGGTGTCACTCGGTGACGAGATATGTGTGTGGATGGTACGGAGATACACCGGGGCTTAGGAGATAAGAGAAGATCAGATTGATCTTGGGGAAATATAGAGTGCATTGTTTGGCCACGCTCTATACTCCCGACTTGACTCTTTGACTTTGCCTTTTTGCCAAGGGATTGTTATGCGTAAGCATTGTATCTGTGATGCGCAGATCAACCGGAAACTATCTATACTTCTGTGAGCCATTTATGCTCGTGTGTAATTTTGTTTTGTTTGTGAGAGTTGTCTGTACTTATGTGTGATCTTTTCATGGATTGAAAGATGTGATTGATAGTGTATCCTAGGTGCATGAGTATTTCAAATGTGGCAAAAATGAACGAATGAAACACAAACATGTATTGTGTGTTTTTAGTTTGAGTAATGTGATTTGTGGAAATTGTTTGAAATTTCTGTGTGGGATACTTTATTGAAAAAAAAAATGAAATGTTTGACTATAAATGTTACATATGGTTTTAGATTGTAGAGGTTGGAAAAATTTTCGGTTTAGTGTTCGGAGTGATGAGAAAAGGAAACTCATCCTTACTCGTTATATTTCGGGTAATGATGGAACAATTGTGGTGGAGGAACCACAGTTTGATTGAGTATCATATACATATGTATGGAAGAATGCCGCCCTCAGGAGGGGTATGATCTTGTATAAGAAAGTTAGGAATTTTGGGTACTGCTTCCGATTAGGATTTGCTTTATTTTGAGATGTATAAATTTAAATTAAGTTCTAATCGTTTAAGGGTACCAACTTTATGTAATTATAATATGATCCTTGTTGGATTA